TTCGTTCGAGGTTATTGTCCGGAGCAATTTCCCGGAGCAATTATGAGGCGTGTCGCCCGCAGGAAGCATTCAAATCCAGATCATCCATCCCTCTTATACGGATGTTTACGCCGTTAACCTCTTGCGATGGAATGACGTGCCACACATGTTGAGAGTTTTTTTGTCCCAAAATTGCAAAATTTTCTCAGTTTTCAGTATATCTAAGCACAACACAAAACAAATGATAAATTTGTTAAATTACTTTTCAATAATTTCTATCCAGTGATATTATACTGACGAGTTTAAAAAGAAAGCGACGAATTGTTATATACGGTTCAGTCACTCGTTATGGTCCGCAATCAGTTGCCAAGTTAACCTCTTGCGCTGGAATGACGCGCGTCGAGAGTTTTTTCTGTCCCAAAATTGCAAAATTTTCTCAGTTTTCAGTTATATCTAAGTACAACACAGGCAAAACAAATAATAAATTACTTCTCAATAATTTCTATCCAGTGATATTATACCGACGAGTTTAAAAAGAAAGCGACGAATTGTCATATACGGTTCAGTCACTCGTTATGGTCCGCAATCAGTTGCCAAGTTAACCTCTTGCGCTGGAATGACGCGCGTCGAGAGTTATTTTTGTTCCAAAATTGGAACATTTTCTCAGTTTTCAGTTATATCTAAGTACAACACAGGCAAAACAAATAATAAATTACTTCTCAATAATTTCTATCCAGTGATATTATACCGACGAGTTTAAAAAGAAAGCGACGAATTGTCATATACGGTTCAGTCACTCGTTACGGTCCGCAATCAGTTGCCAAGTGGTTAAACCTCTTGCGCTGGAATGACGCGCGTCCCAAATTGCAACATTTTCTCATTTTTGAGTATATCTAAGTACAACACAGGCAAAACAAGTAATAAATCACCTCTCAATAATTTCTATCCAATGATATTATACCGACGAGTTTAAAAAGAAAGCGACGAATTGTTGTATACGGTTCGGTCACTCGTTATGGTCCGCGAATCGGTTGCCAGCGCACGGGGTTAAATCTCTCGAACGCGACGGGGATATTTTATAGAATTTCTCCTAGTAGAAACGTTCGGTGCAGAACGGGAACAGCGTGCAGATGATTACAGAGCAGGGGAGGAAGAAGAGAAGCGGGACGACAAGCGAGATTATTTATCGAGCAACGCGAATCCGACAAACAGCCCCGTCCGACAACGGCCGAGAAAGAAACAGCGCTCGCTGTTCACTCCGATGCAACACACAAAAGCAACAATTTTCCTTTCTCCTTAACTCGCAGCCGCTATCAGGATTTTAGATCAAAGGATTAATTACAAGCCTGTCCGGGGGGTGCCCGAACTCCGCGCGATAGATTCGTCCCGCGATCGTCGAATCGGCCGCGTGTCACTTCCGATTCCCGGAGAACAAAGGTCACAGCCGATACCGCGATGCGCTGTCGAAGATAGGAAGGCTCCTTTTTCCCCCTCGAGTCGGGGAAGGGGAGAGCAAAGTGGAGGGGACGTTTCGCGAGCAGGGAAAAACGGTCCTGAAAGGCTGAAAAGGGAGACCCATTTCCGCGACAGGCATTTTCAGGATCGTCGAAAGATCGTCGTAACAGGCTCCTGCACTCTCTCGTCTGTCGATTAATTGAAGATATCCGAGCGGGATACCTGCTAGCTATCTCTCGAGTCGGATTAAAAGCTGTCTCGTTAGGCGAGATCAAAGGACTCGATTTTCTAGCGGTCGGGCAAAAATACTCGGTTCCGGTTGCGCCAGCTGTGTCGATCAGCGCCCCCTAGTTGGATCTCGCGCACGGAATGGGACACGTAGATGCAACCCTCGCTGGACGATCGTTGTTCTCTAACCTTCCCCTCTGTTTCTCCCCTTCGTCGCTGGTTCACCATCCCATCTCTGCCTATTGGTATCTGTCGATTGCCAATATCTCGCCGAAGATGGCAAGAATCGGATCGGTTGGCTGCGAATAGGATCTCCTCTCGGTCAGATAAGAGTTAGCGCTCGCTTGTTCGCCCGTTTCAACGATCGTAATTCATCGAGATACGCGAGATGCGCCCGGTTGTTGAAGGATCTAAACTTATTACTGCTTGTTTGGGGAAACAGTTCGACGAGGGTGGCGAATATACAGAAATTATAGAAGCGAACATGATTATACTGTCGCTTGTGCCTTAACGTTAAATGTGGATAAAATGATCGGTTGAAAAATTTTCACTCGAAATTCTGCGTTCGTTGCTATTTTTCCCTCGTTCGTTCAACTCTTGTTAGAAGAAATGGAAATATACAAATTTGTTATCAATATTGCTTTCTATATTAAATTGACGGTTATTCTATGTTCCTTTCATAATTGGTCATTCGATCGGTTAAAAATAGAATTGAATTCTTAAGCATCATCAGGTCATCGTTGGACCATGAAAATCGCAGACAGAGATCTCCACTACGGGGAATGTATAATAAAATAGAAAATTACTCTAGTAATCTACGACCCAATGATAGTATTTGAGGGTTGATACTTGCAAAAGTGCCAGCATCTTTGAAACGTCGCCCACTTCAAAATTTCATTAAACGTAATTACAAACGGGCCAAATTAGTTTGCATTTATTACCAAACTATCGATATACAAATGGGGGCCAAACAAACCCAGCGTAAACAACCCGCGTTGTTAATTAAACGTGTTATTTCTCGTGCAATTAAACACGAACGATGTAATTATCAATTATGCTTTGCCCTTTGCAATAATACACCCGCCCGTTGAACAAATCAACGATTAAAAATAAAAGAAAAGAAAAGAAAGAGAGCGAGAGAAAGATTCGAATAATTAAAGAACATCCCGCCCTGTTTCTCGCACGCGATTCAGTCGCGAGCATTTTTTTTCCCCTCCCCATTAAACTATTTGGAAATGCAATAACCGGACGATGATGATGCTCGGGGCACCAATTAAACTGTGCCACGAAACGTAACGCGTGTTTGCTACGCGTGTTACAACTCTGGCATTTAATTAAACACGGGAGCATTATCGGGAATTTTTCGATCGACACTCTGTTGCAATTATGCATTCGATTCGCACCTAGCATACCGTGATTTCATCCGCCGGCTGTAAGCAAACCCCCGGGTGCCCCCATCCCTCTCCATCCCCTCGGTTTCCGACCAGATTCGGCTTCCCTGTCGATTCGACAGGTTCCCTTTGAATTTAATTGAGCGCTTTCGGATTACTCCCGGCGGGTCTGGACATAAACTTGCCTGGGATTTACCGATACGTTCCTTCCGAAGCCGACCAAATAGTTTCAATCGAAAGTTAGCGGGCTTCGGTGCCATTAAACGGTAACCAATCCCGCCAATATTATTCCCGAAGCGAAACTCCAAGTGGCTGGGAATCGTGACGGAATTCCCAACTCCGTCGGCCGTGTTACGACGTTGGCCAACGAATTTCACGCGATAATCTCTGTGTTTCGTTATTTTCTTATGTTCGTTGTGTCGTTAATTTTTATCTGTCGCACCAGTGGTTTCCAAACTTTTTTTTTTCGTGTGCTGTGCTACATTTAAGCATCTCTAAAGTCCTGACGCCTCATCCCTTATGATTCTTATTGTTATATTATACTATATATAGTATAATATAGTAATTATATTATACTATATATTAAGTGTATTATATATAATATTATATAATAATAATTATAACAATATACATAATAATAATATAAATAATTATATATAATATAGTATTATAAAAGTGAATGTCTAAGCCTAAAAGGCCATTAACTTCTATGGTCTAAACTTCCAAAGCTTGCAAAGAACGTGACATTCGTGAAAGAAAAAAAATGAAAGAACGAAAGAGCAGTTCAAGTGCCTTGGAGAAGTCACTAAGAAATTGTTTAAAAAGAGAAGCTGCAAATAAAGTTTTAAAACATGCAAAAAAGAACTAATATGCAAACGTAAAGTAATTTTAGTGGAGGCTCTCTTTGTATTTCGATCATTGAAAATAAAGGTACCAAACAAACTCGAAATATTGAAAAATTCGAATTCAACATTTAGGTGAAATGCAAAACATTCGCTGTTAATGGCGAATTCTCGAATTGTCATAAACGTTGGAAACTATGGTTTTACACGGCGTTAACTCTGGAAGGCAAGATACAGATTCAGGAACGCATTTTTTGTTTGAAAATCGTTTAACAGCGCTGAAACGAATCGATTTGCCGGCTGAAATTTGAAAATAGCCCCGGAGTGCAAATTTCGTTTTAAATAGGAAACTCGAATGGTCCTCTAATTTAGTCCGCTGTGTTTCGTATATCGGAGTTTACATCGTTTTCCATTAAAAAAAAAAAAAAAAACTTGTTTTCTAATTTTCGCGTCGATTAAAACGAGAGGTGGAAATTGAAATCGACTGTTTAGACAGAGAATGCACAGAATTTGCCTCACGAATATTAACAATTTATGTTAGATTATTAAATAATAATTTACATATATATTATTATTAAATTTAATTTTGGACGTTGAATTCCTTTTTTTTTCCCCTCTCTTTTTTACGCGTGAAGATTTATGTTTCCACGGAAAGAAATTGACAACTTTCGTCCGAACCTTTGTCGCTTGTTGAAATTTGATTAAACTTCCTCTCGTTATTATATATTTTATTTCATCGTTTACGTTTTTCGATAAACGAAAATCATCCACGCGTTACACGAAGGGATCGAGTATCGTGCAGACTCGCTTTACAAACAATGGACAACCCGTGCTACAATAATATTCACACGGGAAGTCTCTTTAGGCGGTCAACAGATCAAAGACAGTTGGCCAAAAGAGGCTCCAGGCGCGATTACCGGCAAAGTTTCACCTCAAAACGCGAAACAACAACGTCAAGTTGGATTGAAGTGATTAACCACCGCGGTTCGGCAAAGTTTGAAATTGTAATCAGAGTCGACCGAAAGGAAGAAAGAAAAAAAGAAAAAAGAAAAGAAGAAGAAGAAAAAAGAGTAGGATCCGGGGATTTCTATTATTTCACGCTCACCTGTGCACCGACGAGACCAGCACGTAATCTAGGAATGTCCGTGTGACTCCAGTCGGATCTGGCCCAAGGATCAACCCTGCCGAGATCGCTGCTCAGATTGACCTCGCCGAGTTGATTGTGTACGAACTTTCTGACGTTCCAGGGCAAATCGTTGTGCCTGCGGAACAAAGGCCGTGGAAAACGCTTGGTGAAGAACTACTTGGTACGGAGTGCGCCGCGCCGGCTAGTTAGTTGCAAACTACGTATTGCTACATCTTTCTTTTCAACGTGGATTATCGGCTTTCCACCGCTCTCCTCGCGCTGCGAAGTAATTGACAAACTGAGAGCCGCGTCGTTTCCGAAGAATTTTAGCAACTTTGCGTCCTCTGAGGATCGAATCTTGGTCAGTTTCACTCGCGAGAGAAATTTATGACAATTTTCCATCTAGACTTGAAATTTGTAAAATTTGCAACTTTTTCACCTGGTCAACACGCTGAATGCCATGGGGGGTCACCGGTGAATGTCGATACTTGTAAATTTTTCAATATTGGCTTCGTATTGCTACAGTGAAGAAATTAATGCAGTATAGAACGTATAGGAATAATTTCATTTATAAATATTGTGACCTACCGTATTCAAGCAAACAAAGAAAAGTCCTCGCAATGTGACGACTGTTCTAATTATTTTGAATTTTTTTCATAACATTTTCTTTTCACAAAATTGCCATTTGTTTTCACGGTACAGTTTTCTCTATAGGATTTGCAATCCAACCTTCAGTTTCACTATAAAACTCGTAAAAAGTAAAATATCGTAAAAATAAATGAAAATCGAAGAAACAGCATTTTAGTGGAATAGAATAAACATTGTTATACACCTCAACTTATCTGTCACAGACATAATATCTATCGTACGACAACAGATTCATGCCGATATCTTGCGACAGTCAAAGTAAAATCAGCGTGGCATTCAACGTGTTAATTATCGTCGATCGCAAGTCGATAAATTTCGCTATCAACGTTAATTCCATCGTGCAAGAGAGAGAGAGAGAGAGAGAGAAAGAGAGAGCGAGAGTCCGAGAGTATTGTTCCAAAGGGAAATAGGTTTCGGTGGAAAACTTTCAGTGGTATAGTAAACGCGGACGCGCGAGCTTACCCGTCGATCAGAGGCACTTCAGTGAGGATCCTCCTGATCACGTCCAGCCTCTGCTGATGCGTGACAGGCGCGGATTGTAGAAGCAATGGTAGACAAAGCCCACCAAGAAGCAGAGCCGCCACCAGGAGCAAGATGGGCGCCAACACCCGGCATCTTCTGCGAGGACTCTCTTCCCTGCGGTCTTTGCTGCTGCCGCTGCTTGGCGAATCCTCGCACGGCGGTGGCAGTCGCACTGTGCCGTTGCACGGTGCCACGTCTGGCAGTTCTGTTAGGCACGTCGTCTGCAAACCAGAAATAATTCCCCTCCTGTTATTACGCTCCGTCCTCGCGTTCTCTCCGTTTGTTCCCTCGTGCAGAAACGGGACAGTTGTTACGTAATCTGTAAATTGGCCAGAGTTCGCGCGAAACTGCGCCTCTTCGCGCGGATGATAATGACGTTACGAAAGTCAGTTCGACTCGGCGAGAAAGTGGTAACGAAATTTCCACCAGTTTCCGCGCAGATGTTTGTGCGGCAGTGGTTTTACGAATTGCAGAAAGGAACGGTTATATTGTAATATAATATAACACAGAATTATATTCAATTAACGATACGATGTGATACACGTTAATACAATTAGAAATTGTATTAATATGATAATAATTAATTGTAATATGATGATTATAAATAATATTACTATGTATTAATATTATAATGTTGTGGTGAAATGATATAATTTCATTATAAGGTGTATTACATCGCGTAATATTATATTATATATTAATATATTGTAATAATATTAATAATCTACGAATTGCAATTAACATTCCCACGTTTAATTTCGAATTTCGTTTCGTATTTCTCTCGTTTCACAATGAGATATGTAATTATGGTGCAGCCGAGCAGTTGAATAATATAATGTCGAATATGTAATTAGAACGGTGATATAATTATATACAATATTATATACATATTATACGTTATAATAATATTAACAATCTTACGAATTGCAACTATACTCCCAAATTTAATTTCGAATTTTATTCCACATTCCTCCCGTTTTATAATTAGACATGAAATTATGGTCGAGCAGCTGGACCACCGACGAACGTTTAATTATGCAACGCATGAAATTCATGGTGTTGTCTGGCCGCTTATATATAACGTTATAGTTGAACGTAACGGTGACCTAAGCCTTTCTTACCGGCGCAAGAAAAATTGCAACTCACGGAGAAACACTGAAATACAACCGTGAGGATATCCTCCAGAGCTACCGAGTCGCATTGCAGACACACACCGTGCAACTTTTCTTCGCACTTATCCTAACTCCCATAAAGTAGAGTAACACCAGAGACGGGTTTTCTTCGCGCGTGTCTTCAAGTCCCTTCCACCGTATTCTACCAATAGTTTGAGCACCGGTGAAACTTTTATCGAGGTGACACGAGGCAGAACGTCCGTTCTCCCCCCCCCCCCTCCCCCCACACCTCTTCATGTAGCGAGCAAACAACGATCCTGGATCGACGATTGAATTTATCACGATCCACGTAATAATTTTGAACGTATCATTCGGTATAGTTTCGTTAGATTTTATTTGGCAATCAAGTAGCATTTAATTTTACAGCAGGCCTGTTTAAATCAATTATGGGACTACGAGAATTATAGGGCATGAATTAAAGTTAATAAACGGAATGGAACGCGAGTAAAAGGATAGAAGAGTAAGATAATAAATTTGGAAATCGTAGGTAAATAATTTCACGAGATAAGCAATATCTTGAAGGAAGTAAATAGAATTGAAGAAAATTGAAATTGAAATTAAAGGCAAGAGAATTGAGATTAAAATTAAAGGAAATAACATTGGAAGTGAGAAAAAATTTTGTCACTTTCCTTTCGAAAATTGAATAAATCCAGCTTATCGCCGTTCTTCCATAATAGCCGTCGTACGGATTTTGAACAAACGACGCGCGATTAATTAAGAAAGAAAAAAAAAAAAAAAACACGCGAGACGATGGAGCAATATTCGATCGAATATTAAGAGAATAAAATTTGACGCGCGGCAAGCTGACGGTTCCTTCCTTTCGAAGGAAATTTCATTTCGTTTCGCATCACTCAGTGAGACAATAACCCCCGCCTCATCGAAGAGACCAACAGATCATCGTGTTGCGCGCGTGAAATTGCTCTTGGTTCTTTCACCGCATAGATAATTCCGCGGATAACTCCACTGGCAGTTTAGGGTAGCATTGTGCGCCCATTGGAAAGCAAGGGAGAATTCATTCGGATTCCCCTGGTTCCGCAGTTCTCGGGCTTCTTCTACACACACACACACACACACACACACACACACACTCTGTCTGTACCCACTAGAAACTTCGCATCCCTGTGCATCCGCATTATTGTGCGCCATAAATACAGGAAACTCGCCGCTGCCATATACACACGGCTAAAGAGAGAGAGAGAAGAGAGAAAGAGAGAGAGAGAGAAAGAGAGAGTTGTACGTCAGCCAGATAAAAGTTTCGTCGATGCTCAAAGTGCTAGCTTCTTTCAACTTGCTCGTTTCCGCAGTATAAAAACGTTATATCCAGCGACAACGAGGTGGATTGCGGATGCGACGACCAAGGGTTGGGGGTTTAGCGTTGCAAAATCGCTGGGAGGCGATCCCACAGCGAGTGGGAATTTCCATGGAAATTTTATTGGATGACGAGTGATTATATAGACGGTTGCGATTACGATAAATGTCGTAACACGATGAGCGCAACTCGCTTTGAAATGGATATTTTTAATCAGATCGATACATTTGCTGGCAACAGCACGCGGAGGCTCATTCGGAAGCCGATAAGCGCGACTGCTAGTCGCCCGTCATCTGAATGATACCTTGATGAAGTCTCTCTGATGGAAACAGTCATTACGACGTATAGAATGTTTCACGAGACAACCAAGCGATAGTACGAAAATCGTTCCTGACGTAACTTGAACTGATGGAGGAACTACTTTCTTTTTCTCGAAATATCATTTTGTGGGATGGACAAATTCTGGGAAAGGGCCCAGAACTTTCTCCAACTTTCTGCCCAACAATTGCAATCAAATGTCCCGAGTGGCGGTACTGTAGAGAAAGTTAGGCCTGGGAATGTTTAGAGCTAGCTCTACAGGCTTAGCATTTAAGATATTAAGGGTATGGGTACGTTTGTGTGTATGTGTGTATGCATGACGTATTTTGTGCAGATGAAGAGGAAGGCAGTGAGTGACGAGAAGACAGTGAGTTGACAGTTGCGCGCGAGAGAGAGAAGAGAGTGAGAGTTGTAAAACGTCACTTTATAATCATTATTAAACGATTATTTTCTTTATTTAACTTTGAGTTGTAAAACGTCAATTTATAATCATTATTAAACGAATTTTCTTTATTTAACTTTAAATGAACAACCATCCTTTAACAAAATCCCTACAAATTCGGGGTCTCGGGGATTCCTACAAGTTTTTCAAGATTATTTTGGCATTTTTTTATGCAGGAACCGTGTATTCTTCTTCTTGCCCATCAAAGTATGCAGTCAGATATGTTTGTGAATTTGTGAGCCTTCAAAATTTTCAAAAATTCAACACGAAAGTTATAAAATTCCAGATTAGACTAAGTTTAGAGAGTCTGAACACTATTACCCATTGCTTGTATGAAATTCGTTTACTGTTGATTTTCCCTGGTGTAACTTGCTCAGTCGAAGCAAGAAATGATTGCAAATGATTTTCATTTATGGGGAGACTCAACGGTGTCCAAGTAAGAGAAGTTATACTACGGTACGATGATTAAAAACTATACCGTTGACGAGAAGTGACTCGTGACTGGTCTTGGACTCTCGGTGTCTATGCAAATCGACGTTTTTTACGAAACGGAACCTGACGACGAAAGTGGAACTCCGGTTTGTACAAAACTCCATTTATCCCGGGCTGAATTTGAACGCGTAACACGAACTCTTGCTTGTTGAATCCACTTATTCGAACGTGAGCCAGTTCAGCGAGGGGAGAATCAGTGGACTCCAATTATGCGAACTTCAGTTATATAAACTATTTATCCCTTGACAAATTCCTGTGAACTTAGTTTTACCGTGCCGCGCCAGTATCGGGGAATTACTACTTGCTGCTGCTAGCTACCGCTGCAACGCGAAACTGCTTAAAACGACTGCACGCGGCAGCACGAAATTTCCGAGATGCGAAAGCAAGTATCGTTGCTTTAAATATATAAATATATATATATATGTGTGTATATATATATATATATATACATACACAAGACCGGTATTTATAATTGATTCGCTGCGCTTGCCTCCTGTGCTTCATCGAAGGCTTTCGAGGCTTGACTTTATTCATCGCATGCAAATTTATGCGTCTCTGAATTAACCCGAAAATCATAGTTATTAATTTCTGCATAACAACGAGGATTTTAAATATTGCGTGGCGGTTGTTTCTATGCAAAAATCTTCTCCATTTTCCTTGTCACATTTTGAACAGAATTAATTTCAGCACCTGACACTTTGGTAGTTTCGTATTTCGAACGGAGGCTTTTCAATAACACCTCGTGTTCCAGGGTTAGTGATTTAATTTACAACCGCGTTACGTTGTTCCATCCTGGTGCGTGTGTTATACTTTCTCCTTTGCAATCACCTCGGTCACTTGTACTTAAAAATTACGACAGTGACGTAGTTGTTACCTACGATCTTGAGGGAAACGGTTCACAAAGCTGGAAGGTAAATTGGGGTTCTACACGAATCCATCGACTAATGGGAAAATTGGATTCATTTAGGGGGGAGAGTCGGGGAACACGCCACCGTCGTTGCGCTTTCGTTCGCGGGAAATTTAATTTTCCTTTCAATTGATCGACACTATTTGGCAATCGTATTCGAATTTCCAGTTTTAATTAGAATAGATCTACGATCGCACCGTTGTGGCGTACACGTGCACGTTTGTGCAAACGATCCGGGCTTGGTTTTCGGGGGAGCTGTTACGCCACGTTAACAAGGAATTTCGTGCCGGTTAAATGTTATTAATGTTGCGCGCGCGGTTCCGTCGAAACTTCTCGTAAATAATCGTTTAATTGCGCGCGATCGTCGTTTGATATGCGCGGTTTGGAACACGTTGCAACCGGCCGTATCTTCCGCACCGATGGATCCGCAGTTTCGTCGGCCGTGTGTGTTAATCGATGCTTTTGCAGCGAAGTTTTGTCGCGATATTTTTTCACCTCGTACGTACGCACCCCCGCAATTATTTCCAATTATTCCAACATCGTTGCGTTGCGCGCGATCACACGCTCGGTTACGTTAGAAT